AGATCCCACTGTCATCTACCTGATCCCATCATGTTATTGATTACTGATTAATTTACTTCTGTACCAAGTCACTGGAGTTTGGATTTAATCAACAGAAAGAGATGTGATATTGATGAGTGATACTAATGTATTGCTCAGTATTTATTTGAAGAACAGATGAATAAACCTGATTTTAAATCACTGTGGTGCAGGTTTGAGAGGAACGCACATGCAGCATGCGTATGACTTCTACAAGCCTGACCTGATGTCAGAGTACCCTGTGGTGGACGGCAAGCTGTCGATAGAGTGCTACCTGAGTGCCTTGGACCGCTGCTATTCGGTGTATCGCAACAAGATCCACGCACAGTGGCAGAGAGGTGGGTTTCACCTGAAGTGTTCATCTTCTTCTTACAGTTAGAAACATCACAACGTTCTGTCAAGTGGAAGTTTCAGAGCTCACTCGGCACCTGGACATGAAATGTGTATGTGTGTTTTTGCAAACTCTTCCTACTAGAGATGCTTTCAGTCTAATCACTGCTTCATGGTGTTAAAGATAATATATTAAACAACCTCTCTGAAAAACCTCCAGACTAATAATGCATCATATTACTACATAACAAGGACTGTAGTTATTTTACAGTGGACGGACATGAGCTGTGGAGGATGTCCAGGTAATAGTGTCTGATACGTTACATCCAGCTTCTGTCTGCTCCCCTCACCTGGATCCTCTGGGGAATAGTTCCTCCGGAGGTAGTGTCCAAAGTAACTCACTGTTGGTGCTGCTGCCGTCAAGTGCGGAGTTTAGTGGAGCCGTTGGATGGATAATAGGTTAATGAGTTAAGAGGGTTTAGTTGTTACCTGTTTGCTGTGCTAAGAAGTTCACTTAAGGTCAGTGAGCATGATGAAGTGTAATCAGATGAGCCTTCACCTGAAGTGTCAACATGTACCATGTTATCTGACCATATGAATAAAGCATATTAGAAATGACTTGTCCAGCTCTACGCTTCAGGCTGAATATAACGACTGACCTGTTTTCCCTGAAAATCCTCCACAGCAGAGCTCAGTGACATCGGACACATCTGCGAACACAGATCACATGGTCTCTGTGGACGGACATGACGTCCATGTCTATTTGCACAAAGCGCTAGAAGTGAGAGTCGATCACAAGAGACACACTCGGGATGTCTTTTAATGTCAGGAGTGAACAGAGCAACAAACTCTTGATCTGAACTCTGAATCATGTGTGTTCTCATTCTTCTTCTGGACAGAGGGCTTGGAGAACCGCTTCAGCCTGGAGGACTTTGGTTATCTCGTCTTTCACTCGCCGTACTGTAAGCTGGTGCAGAAGTCGTTGGCCAGACTGATGCTGAACGACTTCCTGAGCCACCCCAGCCCCAACACTGAGACCGGACCCTTCACTGGCCTTGAAGCCTTCAGGTACGCTCAGAAACAAACTGTCAAAAAACCTGTTGAATGAAGGAGCAGTCCTTCATTTGGGAACGTAGACGTGTTGAAGGTAGATTATGAGGTTCTGTGTTGCTGTGTGCTTGAATGACAGAGATATTCGACCAGAAGAAACCTACTTTGACCGGGATGTGGAGAAGGCATTCATGAAGGCCAGTGCAGATCTGTTTGAGAGGAAGACCAAGGCCTCGCTGCTGATCTCCAACGAGAACGGAAACATGTACACGCCCTCCGTCTACGGCTGCCTGGCATCAGTCATTGCACAGTACGTCTCGGTGTCCGAGTCCGTCATTCATCTCATGAATTACCCTCGTGCACCTTGTACAAGATGGTGGCGTGTCTGATTGAATAAGAGTGAAAGTTTGAGAGGAGGTTTGTTGCCCTGTGTTGCAGACACACGTCGTCACAGATCGCCGGACAGAGGATCGGAGTTTTCTCCTACGGTTCAGGATTTGCTGCGACTCTGTATTCTGTCCGCGTCACACAGGACCACACACCCGGTGAGTCATGACACAGACATTACAAAATGGCAGAAACTCATACTTGTGTGTTCCTCCATCTGAAATGTTTTGTTTTGTGCCAGGATCTACTTTGGACAAACTGGTGTCAAGCCTGAGCGACCTGAAGGTCAGACTGGACTCGAGGAAGAAGGTTTCACCTTCCGTCTTCTCTGAGAACATGAAGCTGAGAGAGGACACGCACCACTTAGGTAACGACCCCGCGGCTCCTGTCCGCTCTCAAAGAGGCCGTTACGAGGCAGTCAGTCAGGAAGCAAAGTTCTCACAAGTTCTTTACAGTCTATTTTCTCTCTGTCCTCACAGCCAGCTACGTCCCTCGTGGCTCGGTGGAGGATCTGTTCCCAGGAACGTGGTACCTGACGCGAGTGGACGACAAACACCGCAGGGAATACGCCCGCACACCTCTGGACCGCGACCTGCCAGCAGAGCCCGAACTTCTGGCTCGCTCCAACACAACCACAGAGGTACAGGGCGAATTAACGTTCACACCGTTTCCTGATTCATATCATAACATTTAAGACACATTGTAAAAATACAATACGATAGAAAGAAATCGTTTTCATTTTCCTCTCCAGCAGCACATCCCGAGTCCCGCCAAGAAGATGCCTCGCATCCCCGCCACCAACTCCATCCCCGAGGCTGCCGTCAGCAACTAAGAGCGTCCGGTTATCTCCAGGAGGTATCACAGCCCAAAAAGTAGTCGCCTCTAGAGGTCAGAAGAGGTCACCTCCCACTTATCATTAAACTTCATTAGGTCGGAGCAGTGTTGAGACAGCTGGACATCCCATCATGCCCCTGCTGGCCACACGTGACACTGTCCAACAGTAAGAATTCGTTTTATTGTAAAGTTTACGTTCACACGTGCTCCCTTTGCATTTGTGCAAACTGGACAGTTGTTAATCTGGGAGTGGCTCAGGCTGATGTGTGTGAAACAAGCGGACTTCCTGCTGGCAGCTGGCAGCCGGCGACAGGAAGAGGAAATGAACATAATTAACGTGGCTTCAGGCCTCCTGCTGATTGAAAGAAAAACGTGGGGTGGGCCTCAACTGTGTTTATGGATCCAAATAGTGCTGCTGCTGCTGCCACGGCAACCCAGCGTGAGACAGAGCTCTTACCCACACACACACACACACACACACACACACACACACACACACACACACACACACACACACTAGTTATCCTATTTGCACAGAAGTGTCTAAACCCACTGAGTGAGAAGCTGCTGTTAAGTTTGACTTCACTTCCTAAAATCATCAAGTTCTGATAAAACCACATCAGAGTTGTTCCTCTTATTTTCTGTCTTTTCTTAATGTTCTGTAGATTCATTACAGAATTTCTCTCAGTGGAGCTCAAACCTTTGACAGCAGTCGATTCAATTCAATGAAACCACATCACACTCATTCGTAAACATCAGTCCTTTAAATGTCTGAGTTTTTTATCAATGTCCATGAATTATTCTCTGAGAAATCAAAGAAAATTAAATTTTACTTTCTTAAAGAAAGACAACACGTCCTGGACTCGTCTCTTTGTCCCGATCAACCGTTTCTTTCTCGACCCGTCTTTCGAGGTAAATCTTAGTAAATGTCCTCTTTCGTTCTGACGCTCCAGGAAATACAACTTAACTTAAACGTCATATTTGTCTCTATTTCTGAACGTTCTTCCAGAGCAGGTGATGGGATGGATTACATGATCGTATCATTTGTTATGTCAGTTCATGTGTAGTAACACGTACAGTCACAGTCCTTTAGTCTCATCAGCTCCACATGATCCTCAGCATCAGGACAAAGAGCTTCTAGAGTTTCTCAACAAACAAAAAGATTGTTCAAGATTTTATATCCAGAGGAAGAAAAAGTCCAGGAAACTCTTGTTTTCTTATTCTCGTAACAATACGACTTTATTCTTGAGGTCTGGTCCTCGCTCTGGTTTCATAGAGAGAGTAAGCGAGTTGAAAGCGTTGCCATGGCGGCAGCATCATGGACTGCAGGCCTCTTCCTGTGACGGTGCTCGGCTGCAGGATCGTCAGTGGGTTTAGATTTCTCTGATGAAACATCCAGTGTTTTCTGTCACTCTCATTCACACTGAAGCCTTAACAAAGAAGGGCTTTGTTTCATTTTAGTTTCAGACGAGCAGTTTGATGAGCGACGTGCACGACCGCCACGTGTTTGACATTGACGTCGGTCAGACTGTAAACCAAGATGGACGACACGTCTTCACTTCCCCCTGTCGCACAACAATGAAGCTTAAATAGCTCCGATAAGAACGCTGCCATCTTGTGGTGATGATGTAATTTGCATTCAGAGTCTGTGCAGTAGTCATAGTGGGGTGGAGCCGTAGTATCTGTGTCCCGCCCACACATGAACTCCACCAATCCTGAGTCAGTGTCAGCTGTCAATCATGACTTCTCCGCCTGTTTTTAGATCATCAAAAAACGTATTCAAACCAAACTGATGAGAAACTTGAACCAACATCAGAGAGCGAGGAACTAAAACGACAGAAACATCTTTGACAAACTCATTTATCGTCTACTTTGAGTTTTTAATTTTGTCCATCTGCTAACATGGAGGAGGTTTATGACCTATACCTCATCCAGCCACCAGGGGCGATCCAGATGTTTCGGCTTCAATATTTGGAGCTGTCGTGTCGTCCATCTTGGGCTGAGCAGCTCCTGGAATCGGAGCAGTCGATCTCGAGAAGCCTAGCGACACACGAGTATGAATCGTTAACAGACGAAGCTTTTCCTCCAATAATGTACAGAAATTCTTTTTATTGTCCAGCTCGGCTCCTCGGGTCCTGCTCACGTGTGTTTGACGTGTTTCAGGATCATGTTTCCAGGGTCACGTGGTCTGAAGCCATGTTGATGATCATGTACAGGACAAACCGATTATTTATGCTGTATCACGATGAGATGAATTTTATCGCTTTGTGCAAACGTGTACATTCAGAATAAATGAACTTTCAACAGGTGTTTGTGTTTGAAGAATTATTTTTTCCTCCAATAATCAAAAGTCATTTTAAATAAAACATGTTTTCATCCGTATTGTTTTTTTATCTTCCACTCTCTTTTTGTCTTTTTCATGTTTTCTGTAAACATGTGGAAAATAACACGTATGTTTAGCTTCCAGAGAAACTTGATCTAAATATACAGTAACAACGACTTCAATGATAAATCAACAGTAATGAGGAAGAGGAGTAAGAGGATGAGGAGGATGAACGTAACAGAAGTCTGCCCTGAAGTGCAAATCAAAAAAATAAATGAACGATACGTCTGGATACGATTCTCACGCATCGACAAACATGATCAAATGTTTTATTATCTGAAAACTTCACTCGGACAATATAGAGCAATAGATAATACTTGATATGACTGTTCTGAAAATGTTCCTCTGGATATAACTTTAAAATGAAACGTGTGAGAGCTCTGATCTACCACCTCCCTATGTCCACCAGTAGGTGGAGCCAGCTCAGAGTTAATCTACATGTTTAATTAATGAAGTTTTCAACGAATCAAGTCAAACTCATTTTTTATTCTGTTGAATTTAAGTTAAGCTGCATTCTGCTCCTGTGAACGGAGACGAGCAGAAAAACATCCGAACATTGTTCTGAAGCTTTTATTTCTTTAAAGACGAATAAAGACAGAAAGTTTGAAACAGTTTGTTATTGAAGAGATGTGAGATTTAAACATGTGAGATTTAAACATGTGAGATTTAAACATGTTAGATTTAAACATGTGAGATTTAAGTGAGATTTAAACATGTGAGATTTAAACATGTTAGATTTAAACATGTTAGATTTAAACATGTGAGATTTAAACATGTTAGATTTAAAGTCAAGGGTCATGTATGCAAGTGAACCAGAGGAGATAAAACATTTTAAACGTTTATTAACTTAGAAACGTTTTATTGTGAAAGGTTTAATGTAACAACATGTTTATGATCATATGTTTTCATGTTTAACATGTTTAACATGATAAAGAGAGAGAGAGGGAGGGAGAGAGAGAGAGAGAGAGAGAGAGAGAGAGGGAGAGAGAGAGAGAGAGAGAGAGAGAGAGAGAGAGAGAGAGAGAGAGAGAGAGAGAGAGAGAG